CCAATTCAATACCCATAGGATCCATGTATGCTATATATGGTAACATGGATCCCATCAATATACCCCCTTTATGTTAGTATATATACCAGCACCATGGATCCTATGGGATATGGCCACTCACAGGATTTCACACTTTTAAGTTTCGGGCATCCAAATGCATCTCCCAGCTCCCGGCCGGCCATAGGAGACTGGCGCCGAGGATTTAACAGATGGCTACAGGAAGCGTTTCGCGAAGAAAAATGGTGGCAGATTGCAGACATATGCGACTGAAGGATACTGTTGTGGCATTGTGGAATGACAGACAGATACACTGAATCCCGGTGACTCCCGGTACACTGCATTTTCATGACTGCAAGCGCATGAACCATCATGAACCAATGATGGGTTGACTAAGTGACTTGCTGGTTGTACACAGATTCACTAGCTCCTGTCGTTTCGCCACGGCCACCACGGCTCAGGGGCCAGGGGGTTATCGCCACGTTGATACTGTGGCAATCTGGGCGATCTGTGGATTGGAGGCCATGGCGCACGCACGCATCCAGAATGCTTTAAGCAACTTTGACCAACATGGGTTTCACATGGCGAACAAAGACCTATTTTCAGAGAATTTTTTAGTTTTTGTCTATGTTCCAGCCCATAAAAAACAAAGTGAGGGGGCAGATGATCCCAATTGATCTCAAGATAACACGTCATGAGTTTAAAACATGCAAACGCCATGTGAACATGTTTAGTCATGTTTGGTCTTTTTGCTGTGCCAAGTCCTTCTGATTCTGCAGCGATGTGCCAGTCCCGTTGTGCCAAGGTAAGCACCATTACAATTTTCTCAAAAAGGCCTGCGGCTGCAGCATCTGCTGCATTCATGGATTCATATGGATTCCAAGGTACTTCAAATTTAACTGACGCCCTGGAATTGTGTGTTTCTCAAGAATTGTGACTCCCAACATGAAAAAACATGGCAAACTACAATTAGTAGGGGAAACTGCAGAGGAACCCTTCGGCCTGCTTTTTTTTTGTCCCGATGGTTCCGCTGGATTGTGATAACATAATTATAACGTTAGTTGGGGTATGTTCTGGCTATCATGCTACTATATTGTGGTTTAACGGTAATTATGCTTCTAGCATAATTCACAATACCCATAATCCAACCATAATGATCAACTATATATAATATACTATATGTATAATATATATATAACACACACATATATATATATATTATATTATAACCTAATATGCCATATTATTCGTATCACTGTCACATCATAATCATCATAAGCTTATATTATAATCATTACACCCATATCCCCCATATCTTTGGATCTTGGATGCTGTGCAGGTTGGAGAGGGTTCCTTCGGAGCCGCCATCCTTTGCCAACACGATTCCGAAAAGGAACGGGATACCAAGGCCCAGCATTTTTCCAAGGGAGAGAACCGGGCCAGGAAACGGCTGGATAGAGGAAACAGCTGGGTAATTTGAGAGAAATGTAGGGTTTGATTCTTTAGATGACCCACGAAAATGGAATGATAGTCGAATTGACCATATTGGGCAATGTGGACATGGGCTGAAGCATGAACCCCCCACTGAGAATATCGAGCAAAACATCTACTGTACCCCATCCAATTTTTGTCTTTTCCCTTTGGCTCGCCAGAACTTGGTACCAGGCAATTGTCAAGATGATTGACATTAGTCGTGCTTCCAAGCAAGAAAAGGATGATGCCTTGAAAGAAAGCAAGGCTGGGCGTTTTTCGAGTTCTCTCTAAACATGGCCATGCCCACTGAAAGGTGGTTCATACCCATTTCTTATCATTTCTTATCATTTCTTATGATTTCTTGATCGGTTACATCCCGTTGTCATTTCTGAAGTCATAGTGATTGGCATTCCCTGCCTCGTCTACCAACAACACTTCATCTCCCATGTGTGCTACTGACAACAACCGCTTTTCAGCAACAAGTCATTGTTACCTCTTGAATTCTTGGTCAGTTTCACTCCCCTAATCTTTGTTGGTCAATCTGCTGTATCCCAATGTTTCTTGCCGTTGGTTAGTCAGCTAGTCACCTGTTTGGATATGTTTGGTTGCCCTTCAGTTGTCCCAAGTCAGGTCTTGGCTTCTTTGAAGCACCCGTACATCGTGAGATACCGGGAAAGCTTCCATGAAGACGGATGGCTGTGTATCGTCATGGACTACTGTGAAGGGGGTGACCTTGCAGGGAAGATCAAGAGCGCCAGGCCTGGCCAGGGTGATGCTAAGTGACGTGGTTGGCTGAAGCCACAATTGGAATAGCAACTAAGGAGATCAGGAGATGGGACAGTGTCCCACAGGTGACGTGGATCTATCATGATCTATCCATCTTAGTTCGCACATGTTCGCACTTAGCACATCCAATTTAAACATTGACATCACCAGAAGAGGACCATTTTTTTGGTGGACCGTGAACCTGGTGATTTTGGACCATTGGAGACCCTGGGCCTGTCCTGGTCAGGTCGTCGGCTAAGATCTTTCCACAGGATCAAGTTGTTCGATGGTTCACCCAGGCAGCTTCCGGCCTTCCGATTGCTGGGACTGGATTATGGCGACTGGATACATGGAAGATGAAGATGTGAGAAGCCAAAAAAACCAGCCGCATACCTGGGATATGGTGACACCCATGAAATTTGAGCTATTTTGGGTGTCACCATATCAAGTCATATCACATAGCTGGGATATGGTGAAACCAGCCATAGTTGGGGAGATGGGACTGATGGGACTTTGGGACCCCAGCAGTGGGGATGTTGAGCGATTTTCAGGCGATCCTGGCCTTGAAGTACATCCATGATCTGCACATTTTGCACCGCGACTTGAAATCGGGAAACTTCTTCCTGTCAAAGAGTGGCTGGCTGCTCAGCAATCTCAGCACATCTCAGCACCTTGGAAACATCTAACCTCTCCAGAGCCATTCCAGAGCTCCAGAGCCATTCAACAATGGAGATCAAGAAAGGTCAGGACCATTCAGGACCTAGAAGCCGAATGAAACTCAGTTGCCTAAGATTCCAGTGGTCTTTCCTCTTTGCTAAGGAAATATCAAGATGGGTGACTTCGGCATTGCCAAGGCCAGATTTTTCGGAAACTCCCAAGGATAGGACATTGTCATGAATTCCCACAGCGTTTTTTTTTACAACTGGATCAGGCCAGGTTCATCTCGTTTTCAGAAAAAACATATTTAGTCGTTTTTTTGAACACCATGAACACCATTTTCCAGTGGTTTTGTTGAACATTCTTACCATTCTGATGATTTTTCACTTGTTTTGGTGAGATTTCCCTTACACTTATGGCCGAGGCTGTCACGCCTTATCACCCTTCCGGCAGGTGTTGGAGTGTACTGCTGCCTGTGCACAGACGCAGATCGGCACGCCTTGAACTGAGATGATTTTGGGCCCAAAGGGGCTGTGATGTTTGCCGATTTTCAGAACTATTTCAGGATATTCCTGTGAAAATTCATGTTTTGAACTCTGATTTTTAAGCGATCTATTTGATTGGATTTGATTGGAAAAATGATTGGGATGGAGATGTTCAACATTTTTCAACTATCCCAATATTGCATGGATTTTGCATGGATTGGGAAGGATGTTTTCATTTGTAGCGGTTTTATAGAGTCCGCACCTGGCGGAACGTCGTCTTCCCTCACCGCCATGAGGCCGTACTACCTGTCACCAGAAATTTGTCAAGGCTGGTGCCCTAACAGGGCAGGGCGATGGCGGTGGCGAAATCACTGACGCATCTGACATAGGAAAACGGTGATTTAATGGGTTTTAATGGGATTTTATCGTGATTGAATGGATCTTACCCTCTGGTAAACGTTTACAGTGTACAGTTTGCTATTGAAAATGGCCCAGTCGAAATAGTGGATTTACCCATGAATCGCATGGTGATTTTCCATAGTTTTTTGTATGTTTACCAAAGGGTATCTGACATGTCTGTCACCATGTCACCATTCTGAGGCAAAAACTATGCCTGGAGTTCAGACATTTGGAGTATGGGCTGCATTCTCTATGAGATGTGCGCCAGGAGCGATGGAAAATCCTCCATCAAGGTTTGGGTGGTAAAATCATTGGGGAATTGTCCAGGACGCCATGTTTGATTAGTGTTTGATTACCAGAGGCTACTGGATCTAGATAGTTAAGATGTTAAGCAAACACATGCTGAAGGCAATGACAGTCCCTGATCTAACGCTTTTTTGGCTGCAGGAAAGTTCCCTTTGATGCACCTGACCTGATGCTTGGCAAAAAACATGCGAATCGCAGTCACAACCATTGAGCCTTCAAATCAGCCTGTGGTAATTTCGCAAAGCTTATCCTATGGTGTAGATGGCCCATGGCTATGGATGATTTAGCTAACAAATGCTGATCATATGGTGATTTTCCATAGCTACCTTAAATATCCTCAAATTACCCTCTGGTAATTTTACATAGCTCTTGAAAATATGGCCATATGTAGTGGATTTACCCATTTTTGTAGCATGGTGATGTTCTATAGTTTGTTGCTAGTATATCATATATATATATTATATGATATATATATATATATATGATATAATATATATATATATATTACCAGACGGTAGCTGTACTTTTCTTCAAGTCTTCCTAGATCTTCGCATCCATCGGCCTCAGGAAGAGCCTGATCCATCGGATCACAAAAGAGCAGGCGCCAGAGGCCATCCGTTCTTACCAAAGATTGTCCAAATGACTCTGCTTGTTGCTTTGGAACCATGGAATTTTATGAGATTTTTTCTTAAATGACTTTCTAGATATTGGGAATGGAAAATCATCCCAAGTGACGAACTCCATCATTTTTCAGAGGGGTTGGTCAACCACCAACCAGTTATTGTAACAATAATATACTATGATATATGATAATCCACTTTTCTCCATTATATATACCCAGTATGGCAGTCCTATCAATTCCCCTTTTGGCTGCTTTTGTACCCCACTGTTTCATATTTTCATTCGTGGCCTGTCCAGATTCCCTCGGATTACGGGGTTGGCGTCAGAAATCTGGGCAAAGTGACAGCCTCAGTTGACATGGCGATGGCAAAGCTATGGAAGTTGCTGCGATGTAAAAAAAATGGCCAGTCTTTTCCACGGTTTTCAGGGTTTTACCCATCCCCACATCCCCCACATCCCCTATCCCCTACATCCCCCACTGGTTGCCCCATATCAGCCATGGAAAATGCTCGAAATTCCGGCTCAGGAGCTCCTAGATCGAGATCCCAACAAAAGGCCACCAGCCGCCAGCAGCTCAGATCATCCATGATCATCCGGGGACGAAACCACTGGGATGCTTGTTTCATGGGGCTGGAATTAAAGGATAAGAAAAGTGTTCACTTCAATGCCATTGATGCCATTGATGTAATGTTGACGTAATGTTGATGTAATGTTGATGTTGAGAATTGACAGTAGCGTTGATGCCTGATCCGGAAGCTCTGATCGCGAGGCTGAAATCTTGAAGCGGCCAGTGATCCAAGAAATGGTTCGAAGGTGGGCCTGAACCAAATCATGTTCGGCAATCCATGAAGCCAAGAAATTGATCAAATTGCAGAGAACCTGAGAGAACAGATCAACATGTTTGAAGAAAACTATCCATAAAATCTCTGACAGATAGACATATTCACTCATTTTCCCAGATATTTTCCCGGTGTTCTCAGGATGCTGGATGAAGTGAAAGGTGATGAGGAGGGCGAAAAACCTGCGCCACCCGCACCACCACCCCCGGACGGCGGTTCATGGCTCAGATGGTAAATCGGTGATCAAGGCTAAGTCCAATAGATTTTGGGGTTGTTATCCTGTATGTATAATATATGATATATGTATGTAGATTAGTTAGTTAGTTAGATAGATAGATAGATAGATCGATGGATGGATGGATGGATGGATAGATAGATAGATAGATATATTATATTATATATGTACATATCACATATGTTTGAACAGATTTCATCTTTGGAACATGAAAATCATGTCGGGAAATCACCGTTCAGCAATTCTTTCCATCTCAAAAGAGTTGGCTTCTGAGCCACGTCAAAGTGCTAGCCGGTCATTGGCCGGTCTTTTTCTTTTCGGTACCAAAAAAATAGTCAAAAAATTACCATAAAAAGATCGGTACCAAAATTGGACCAATTGAACACCTGATAATATGACATCAGTAAATCGATGTAAATCATGTCATCCTTTTCACATCCTGGTTGCACACATTTCGGCATCTTTTTGGGGCCGAGGTGCCCCGGTTGCTGCTGTGGCTGGACCCTATGGCAGTTGCTTGGTCAACATGGCGCAGGAAAATCCCCTACAGTTCCATGATTTTTTCCAGCTTTTAACACTAGTGATAGTGGATTTTCACGTGTAGCTGGATGATCATAGAAACATAGTTGGATTTGTTCTATTAGTACTTGGGGGTGGAGTTGAGGTTACTTTTGTGGATATACGTATACACCCCAATAAGTTGGGTTATGGGCCCCCATAACCATCGTTGTATATATACATATATATATACACATATCCACTTATATCTGGAACATAATCAATATACTTAATTGGATTATAACTAATTCTTGATGATATATAGTGCATGGAAAATTGATTGGACACCTCTTCATCGAACCTGATTTGTGACATTATTGATGAACGCTACATTGTACAGGCTACATAGGAACAGTTCCGGTCAACAGGTTTTTCATGGTCCCCCATTCTTCAACGGACCAGTGTTTCCATGTGTTTTATGTATATGTTCATTCATATACTTAATAATAAGTATGATATAATCTAAACATCCATATATATATATGATAAACGATCCCTAGAACTTGTGCATAGGAACTATGGTTTGGTATGGTTATCATCCCCACTCCAAAGTAGGACACATTTATATCTTGAAAAGCTGGTTTTTCAGCAAGTTGGTTGATACGATAGGGATGTCCTTTCCATGGATCATGATAATTCCCAACATGTACCCTCTGGTTATGACTAACATAGCTATTGAACATGGCCATAGAAATAGTGGATTTACCCATTGAAAATAGTGATTTTCCATAGTTATGTTAGTTTACCAGAGGGTAGATCCCCCCTTGTGAATGGATAATCTCACTGAATTTGGAACTTCAAGACCTTGAGGTTTCGCTGGAAAATATAGCAAAAATGAGCTGGTCGAGTACTACAGCGAGACACATAGTGAATGGCGCCTCGGAATAAATGGGAGAATTTTGCTTTTGTGAAAGTGTGGTTCTTAAGTTTCATCCTTTGAAAGCTGCTTGGTGGTTTGGAACATGAATTTTATTTTTCCATATATTGGGAATAGTCATCCCAACTGACTAATATTTTTCAGAGGGATTGAAACCACCAACCAGAAAGCTTTGGGCTGTTCGCATTTGATAGTTCTTAAGTTGATGTGGCCGAAGCTCACCACAGGTTGCCTGCTACCGTTACAGCCAGCAACGATGACGGTTGCTTGGCGAAACTGATGCGGTAGAGCATGGGAAACCCAATGCCATAAAAACCCGATGTGCACAATTTTACTCTGGCTTCAAATTTCCATCAGTACGCAGAACAATCCCAGACTCTAGACAGTTTTTATGTCAACGGATGGGTTTACGTCAAACTTTACTGGTTTAAGCCCCATGATCTTCATGGGAAAATCGATGGTTTCCGGTGAAGATTTCCCAACAAAACCAATCCATTGACTCACTGGTGCTTCAGATCGGGAATGGGGGTTGCTGGGATGATGGTCATAATAATTTGTTTAATAGATGTTAATAGTTATTATATAGATCATTCCCCCATTCAATCCCATTCAATCCCATTCCATCCCATTCCATCCCATTCCATCCCATTCCCTACGTTTTAGCACCAGTAAGTTGACATAAGTTGACATCATTTGCTTTGAAAATCTTCGCACGTCACTGAAAAACCAATCCCCGCTGAACGTCTGAGTCCCTCTGAGGCCGTGTCCAGCTGAACCTGAAGCCAGGTGTTTGGATCTCCTTGGAGGCCCGGAATAATGCCCACACTGTGCCGATTTTGCTAGGAAAAACATGAACAAAACCCACTTATCCGGGGATTTTTCGGGAATTTTTCTCTGGAAAATCCATCCTTTGATGTTTCAAACATCATGATTTTCGCTGATGCTTGCCCTGGCTGTCAGATCCAAGGGGCTAAAGTACGGCCGCGGCACACTGGGGCTGAAACTGGGCCGCAAATCAAACAAACTCTGGGTGATCTGAAGCTTCAAATGTTGGTAAATGTTGGTAAATCTCAGTAAATTGGCAGAAAAAAAAGCAACCCCTAAACTTCAATGATTATCAACATCATCAACTGTTAGCTATGAGAGGGCACACATCATTTTTAGACAAACCCATGTTTTCCAAAGCTATGGACGTTCATGTGTGCATCATCCCAGAATTGGTTGAAGCGAAAAACCGCAGGTTCGGAAAGCAGGTGTTTTTTTGTTTGGGGGTAGCAACATGATGTAAGATGATGTGATATATGATATATGATTTATGTTATATATATATGATATATGGTCATATATATATATGGTCATATATATATATACATACATACATAGATATATATATATATATATTATGGTTAGAATATGATATCTGATATATTATATGATGTATATAGAACCACCAGGGTTTCCTGTCGATTTCTCCTCCAAAAATGAGGCCACACCTGCGACAGCTGCTCCGGCTCCACCAGTGCCTCGATGGCGCTAATTGGCCCATTTATAGCTGGTTTACCATGGTTTACCTATTAATAGCATGGTGATGGCTTCCATGGCAAACTGTTAGTCATAACCAGAGGGTATATATGATATCTATACAATATATAGATATATGTAATCATATTTCTTCATAATATGTTTATATGATATCTATATATCTATATATCTATATGTCTATGTATATATCTTGTACATCTTGCGCGTGTTTTTTACCGTATTGACCATGGAAAAATATGGTCCCCGGTGTTGAAGGCGGCGGCCAATGGCGGGAAGCCCCCTGCTGGTGGCAGCAGTCCAGCGAGCAAACCACGAGCGCCCAGTGAGAAGAGGTGGAAAAATCGCTGAATTCCCATAGATTTTTCGATGTTCCCATGGATTTTCCCATGGATTATCCAATGGATTTTCCCCAAACATGGGGCAGAACCCCATGGGTTTCCCCGGATTTTGCCAAGGCAAATCCCTTGAAGTTGCTGTTTTTCCAGCTCTCAAGTTGTCACTGTGAAGCCCAGAGTGAGCTGTGCGGCCGCACATTTTTTTTGCCCAGAATCACTCCTAAGGTGAGGCTGGATTCCCAAACATAGAAGGTGAATATCTGAATGTTTGATCAATTCGTTTCCAAATTCATCTCCAAATTCATCTCCAAGCTCTTCAATGTGGGATTAACTCAGTCAATGAACTTAGTTAAGGAACCAAATGTTCACTTCAAATGTGACCTGCCAGGGACTTGCAGCGGCAAGCAAGTCGAGATGCTGTAGGAGTGACCTGCCAGGGAAATCTCAAAAGTTGGATGTTTCCATTTCAGTCTGTTCAGTCTGTTCAGTCTGTTCAGTCTGTTCAGTCTTTATATGCCTTCATTTACCATATGCTAGTTCAACTTGTTGTTTTCCACATGTTCAACCTCCGACTTATAGAGCTCGTTGTTTTTTTTCTTCAAAATCTTCGGATCGTTCAACAGACTTTTCAAGCTGGAAAGCACTTGAGGTGAGGGATAACAGTCCACGACGTGGTCCCAGCCAAGATCGCGGTAGAGGGCGGACGCCACAGGGAAGGGTGTGGGACCTCAGGATGACCTCAGGATGATCAGTTGATATCGGATCATTGGAGAAGCATTGGAGAATTGTGGATGTAATCTGATGATATGGATGTGGGTCAAAATGGAAGACCTAGGGGACCACAGATGTTAGTCTAGTTTAGTATTAACCATCCAATTATTGGGGTACCTAATTTTGACCCATACCCATATAATCATTGGATAGCCATTGGAGGACCATTTTTAATATAACTTTTTGAAGTGTTTTGTCTAGGAAGTCCCCAGAATCACGAATTTCTTCAAGGCCAAGTCATGAAAAGCATGGTCCATGATGGTCCATGATGGTCCATGATGGTCCATGATGGTCCTATTGGGGACGTTCCAGAATCATGTTATCCCATTTCATCCCATCAGTTCTCCCATTTCAATTCATTTCGCCAATCGAATATACGGGAACCTTGGCTAAATCACCCATTTCCCATAGGATCCATGGTGCTGCTATATATGGTAACATGGATCCCATCAATATACCCCCTTTATGTTAGTATATATACCAGCACCATGGATCCTGAGGGTTTCAGCAGAAAACTGGTTCGATGAAGCTGTAAGCTGGTAAGGTGGTTAGTTGAGCCATATAAGCTGGATCTACACCAGGCAGCCAGCCCTTTCGGAGCTGCGGGCATGCCATCGGCTCGGGGAAACAGCAGAGGCAGAGGCTGTGACCGCTTTGAATTTTGAGATTTTTGAGATTGCTTATGGAGGATTGGTGGTGAATTGGAGCTGCATTTTTGCTGATGCTACTTTTCGTACTTGCTCTTTTCAAGTCCCTTCTTGTTTCAGTGTCATTTCTCAACTTCAGCTTTGAATTTTTGACTTGCACTCGTGAGTCAAATCCAGGATGAGTAGTTTGCCTCCCGACTTTGAGCCTAAAATCGTTTGCGCAAAATCGCCAAACCGTTTCACGCGGCAGTCAAGGGCTAAGCAGACTCTGGTGGCGAAAGGCTTTCCGGGCTCATATCCTAATGGTTGAATCATGTTGAATCTTGCTGCATGTGGCCATGTACAGATTGTCTGCCACGTGTCCAATTTGCCCCTTGTTTCAGTTCTCCGAAATTCTTGTTTTGGACATTGAAATTATTTGAAAGCAACTTCTTTTTCCATTCTTTTCCAACCACTGCTTTGCTGGGGCGTTTCACAATTTGCACGGCCAAAGAATCTGGTGGCCAAAGTGGCTGGTAGTTGGCGTTATCAAAGCTGCCTTTGCTTCAGCAGGAATCACATCAGAGGTCAGTGTGCATGTTTTTGGCTTTGTGTTTGAACTGTGTTTTTCCAATTGTTCTATAATATACACAGTGTACATAAAAACATAATAAAACATATAAATATACATATATATATATACACGTACACTTATATACGTATGTTTTTGAGGAATAAGTGTTCTATATGTCCTTGAGGAAGCTTCCAGCTGTCGAGTTTTCTCTTGTGACCTTCGAGATCCTATAGATTTTCCCGAGCCTTTGCTTGGATTGTTGGGATCCAGTAGCTTGGGACTAGGATGGACTAGGTAGCTAGTGCTTTTCTGAACTGCCTAACCTGCCTAATATGGCCTTGTGACCTTCTGCTCCAGCGAGCCAAATGGCTCTGTCCTCGCAAGTGCCACGTCCTCAGATCAGGGATCTGGTGTGGAAAGTGGCTCGATCTGAAAGGTTTGTGGCATGTGGTAAACCCAATACTCCTGACTCGTGACGTTCATTATTTGTGATTTCTGGTTGGTTCATCATTGATCTTCCAATATCTTCCAACATCTTCCAACTAAACGTGGTAAAACTATAATCACTTGGATTTTTTTGAATTACAGTCATCATCATTTATCGCATTCATGATAATTACGTTAATTTATTCTTATGATAACTGATGATTTTTTGGGGGTCATAGAGTCATCAATCATGGTTTCCTGGCTCTGGCTTCCAGGTGCGATGAACCCCTCCAAGGCGTGTCGGAGAAAAACCATTGTTTTTTTTCTTACGAAGAAATATGAATTATATTAATTATATATGTGATTTATTAATAGATAATAATAGTCTTTATTCTAGATAATAGTCTATGAATCTGATATACATCTATTATTATCTATTATTAACCCATGAGGGATCCATGGTGCTGGTATATATACTAACATAAAGGAGGTGTATTGATGGGATCCATGGAGCACCATATATAGCAGCACCATGGATCCTATGGGTTATAAAGGTGATTTGATGACCACATACTTAGAATACTGAATACTTATGAATACTGGAATACTGAATCTGTAGCTATTTCAGGAAATATCGGGAAGCAGTTGGAGTAGCAAAACCCCTTTTTGGTTTTTTGGATAGACTGAGCCGTTCGTTGAACTTCTCCGTGCAGATAACGTGGCTCTTCCTCTTGCGTGTCGCAGCTGGAAACTTGCTCACTGCAAAGGCCGATGCGACTTCGATGTCAAAAAGGTTCCGGTATCATGAAACGTGGAGAATTCCCTGATGATTTTCGTAAACAGCATTTGTAGTCAGGATGTCCCTGTCATATTTGGATACCATGATCTAAATCAAATATGGCAGGGAAATCCTCTACAAACACCTAGATTTATTTGATGACAAGAAGGTACCTGGATCTAAATCGATGAGACTTAGGCTGCAGCTAAGGAGGTGAAAATTCTCGATGCTCTCGAAGTTTGGCCTCAGGGTCGGGGGATGAAAGGGGTGTACAGAATCAATTGCGACAGAGGTTGGTAGTAACCAGGTAGTAACCACCAGGTGATGAGATTCTTCAGCTCATTAGGCGTTGGTTGCTTCCTCTTCCAATGGATCATAAAAAAATCCTTCAATTCCAATCACCAGCAGATGAAGAGAATTAGAGCATATAGTTCACATGGAATGAACATTGCAACTAATTTCATCCTGATAATTTTTGATAATCGGATTAGATCTATGTGGCTATGGATCAATACCTATTACTACCATTTTTAGTGGAATGAACATCCATTTACCAGCTATTTTGATGTTCACCAGGGGTACACGGTTTTGACACACTGCCATGTGGGACATCGCATGAAGAGGTGCGCAAGTTCCATCCGATTCAGACAGGTCCTGTTTGACATTTGCGGCACAGAGGACGGGCCAATTTGAGCGGTACTGTTTGTCATGTGACACTGGCAGATTCGATGGCAAATGCTTCATTTCCTTACACCAAATTATACACCATTATACACCATTGTATACTGATAAATATATATATATACTGATACACACACGCATATATATATGATATATATATATATATATGTATATATATATATATGTGTATATATATGTGTATATATATAATATGTATATATATATAATATATGTTTGGTTTCACTGCCTGCTTCAATTTCGGATTGCCTTCCGATATGAGAAGCCCTATCAACATCTGGAGGACTTCTCGTTGGTGCCTTCGAACCGCTGCTTCTACCGACTCTTCAGTGCGCTACTGAGGAAACCATGGTGAATCCATTGGCATTGACCCAACAAAAAGATATCAATGGATATATCATATGTATGGATTTTAAGTGGAAATCATATTCTATCATACATATATCATAGAAAAATTGACCCATCAATGGATTTTGAGTGGAAACTGCTTCACCAATTTTTAGTAGGTGACAGTTGCTGAGAGTGACATTCCATTTAAGTTTCCATTCCGCCAATTGCTGCAATTTCCAGAGCAAGGTCTTGCGCAAATTTGGGATGAGTGCCGTGGCTTGCAGGAGAGCAACAAAAAAATCTGAGCGGTTGAAACAGTACAAATTGGCTTCACCAAAACAATGGGAGAAACCAGATCATCTCAAATTCTTAGGAGATTTCCTAACCAAACATCATCAAACATCATTTTTGCTTGGGACTTTTTGGTTTCTTGATGACCCCGGAGGATCCAAAGGAGCCCTGCATCGAATCGTGTCTCCTGGAAGACTTTTGCAGCAAGCTGTACAGCGATGGCAGAGTCACTGGGCGCTGAGTAAATTTAGTAAGTTCTGGCCTTCACGGTTCTCAAATTGCACCTGGTCATCATCATCATCATCATCATCATCATCATCCCCAACAAAGATAGATCATGATAGATCTACATATTTAATCATACTTCATTATGTTCAGAAAGCCATGACCTTTGCTTTTTTTTTGGTTGGCCATGGCCGGACCATTCCATCGAGGCCATGAAAAAAGCAGCTCATCCTGAGGGATTTCATCACTGTGAGCGACTTGTGAGTTGCATCCAGAAGGACTCAGAGAGCGCGGCAGTGTCGCCCTGGCACCATTGATCTGTGGAAAATCCGCAAGGGATCGGTTGGAAACGCTTGAAGATCCGTAAAAAAATAAATCTTGGTGGAAAAAACATGAGGGGTTGTGGTCTCCAATGGTGGCATATACTATACTTACCTATACTACCTATACTTTATTCCATAGACTAGAAAGAATGGTCACTGAAACAATCTGAAACATGAAGAACATCAAAGTTTTACAGGTCCCTCAACTGTCATCTGAGGTTTACATGGTTATTTACACCTCAAATGATGCGGCTGGACCCAGCACATGACAGGGCTTGTTATGAAGGCCATCTGTGGGAGCCTCAAAAGGTGGACCTTTTATGGGATTCTTTTAGCAGCGCCATTTTTTCCGGTCATGTGATCCATGGTTAATCCATTAATCAAATGTCACATATTAAACCATGGAGTTAATCCATTTTTAACCATGTGATTCCATGGAAAAATTCTATTTTTAAGTCAAATTTGTTTATCTTATTTGATCTCAGCATATCTCAAGAACATCACTTCAAAAGCGGTCCTGATGCTGCAAGGCCAAAGGAAGGCCTGCTGAAGGCCCTGCGGATCGGGAAAAAAACGGAGAAAACCCACTGCGATCCAACAGATTCAAACGCGAACGCCTTTTTTTTGCAATTTGCAAACTTCAGTGCGATTGGATCATCAAAGTGTGTTTTCCATATTTTTTTCCTAACTTGTTCCCCCAAGTTTTCCGTTTTCCCATGGCATCTCCCAGGGCTGGCTCAGCGACTTGGCTCAAGCTGGCCAACACACCTCGTGCTGTCCCAAGATTTGGCTTACTGAGGTTTAACCGCGTTTGGCGGCGAGGTGCCATCTGGAACAGGGCAGATATGGTTCATATTGATGGCATATGGATGGCATATTGATGGCATATTGATGGTAAAAAGAATTGGGTAAATACCAGAAAGTGGAGCTAGTACTGGCATACATGAGTTGTAGATCATTGTCTCTTGCGATATTTATTTACACAAGCCTTACATTAGTTTTCTAACCTTTTGTGGCTACGAACCTCCAATTCGTAGTACCTGAGACCTCCCTTCAACCAGCAATTCCTAAGTTCTGCAACCCGGCATATTTTGGCCCAACATATTACGGGCTAAATGAAGGCATATTGAAGAAAAAACAAGATCGCACAATCATGTTTGAGATATCTTTGAAATATACAACAAGTGGATATGTATATATATATATCAATTAATTAGTTAATTAATTAATCAATTAATTAATACATTAGTTAATTGATTAATTGATTATATATACGTATATTAATATGTGTATATATATATACAATAACAATAATGTTTGAAAAAGCTGAACGAAACCCCGCAGCCGGGCCGTTATGGTGCCGCAGGTGACGCCGCCATTGGCGCCAGCTCCAGCTCCAGCTCCTGCGCCTGCCGTAGAGGCAAGACTCCAAAGAACTAATTGTTTTAAATCATTCTTAATAATAGATAATAATAGTCTTTATTCTAGATAATAGTCTATGAATCTGATATACATACATCTATTATTATCTATCATTAACCCATAGGATCCATGTATGGTATATATACTAACATTTGGGGCATATTGATGGTAAAATATGGTAAATGTTACCATATATAGCAGCACCATGGATCCTATGGGTTAATAATAGATAATGATAGATGTATGTATATCAGATTCATAGACTATTATCTAGAATAAAGACTATTATTATCTATGATTCTTAATAATGTTATCAAAGATATCTATGTCTATGCTTAATATTTCAGTTAAACATAGATGCCATATTAGATGTATAGTATATGATATATCAAAAATGGGAGATATTTCAAAATGATCATCTCAAGAGCAAAAGTCCTGATATATCGATAAAACCACGACCTGCCCAAGGTGTGGGATTCTGCTCCAGCACCTGCCCCTGTGACCTTGGCTCCGAAAGAAGTGATTGAGGCTGCCCCTTCGACCGGAAGAGAATCTTCAAATCCAGAATTCGGATTAATGTGGGTAAAACATGGTAAAACAATGTCATAAAATATATAAAATGTCATTTGCACCATCCCCCAGTCATCACCATTTTTTTTGTTGCTTGGTGGTATGTAGAAACCAACCATTCCCAGGAAAATGGGTGGTGATGAGGGATGCCCTTGTGTGATGATCCTATCAAAAACTGGAATACAGAGACGATTTTCGTATGGCCCCTAGGCGACAGGAATGGAGATGTGTAACAAGTGAAGAGATCATGACTGGTTGGTGGTTTCAAATATTTTTTTTATGTTCCACAAATTTCCATAATATATGGGATGTCATCCTTCCCATTGACTTTCATATTTTTCAAGATGGTTAAAACCACCACCTAGATAAGATTTCGTGAGACAGTTGTTCGATTTCGCAGACTTTGGAGGAAACTCTTCCCATATCAGCGCCAGCCTTCGCTACTGCGCCACAGGCATGATGGCCATGATGGCCTTGATGGCAAGAACCAGATGTCATCAATTATCAGGGTTGCAACAGTGGATCCGAAGGCAACATATCAATGATCCCCATCATGTAATACTATATCAAGCTTATCTTAAGATTGTCATATTTTGGCATTTCTGAAATCTCAAAAAACGACCAAAAAGTGAGCTGAGCCTGAGATATTGGACCTTGTGGAAGTGCCATCTAGTTTTAGTTCCCATGAAATGACAGGTGTCTCGTGGCACTGCACTAGCTGCACCAGCACCCGCCCCTGCGTCTACCTTGGCTCCTGTCCAAAAGGAGGTGATGGAGGCATTTCCGGCTTCAGATTGACATGGAAGGGAATGTTCAAATTGCTAAAATGCTGGTAAGCCCAAGTCACCATAACCATCATCAGTTTCAATACTAAAATGGTCATCCATGACTTGGATGATTTGGGAGTACCCCCTTTCCACATATTCATTGTATGAAAATGTTTGTTGGATGGCCTGCACTTTGGAGGAGACTCTTCCTCACGTATCAGAGCCAGTTGCTCCTGCCCCTAGCGCTGCAGAGGCACTGGACACTGGACACCATGCTTTTGAGTCATGTGGATTCTCAGTGAAATTCTCGCAAGAGGCTTCACTCCGTGCAGCGGTGTTGTGCAGGTAGTGTCAGCAGCACCCGCTCTACCTGTGCCGCCGCCAGCAACCCAGAAATCAGGCAAACACTTTGGGCCAACAAGCGGCTATGGGTCAAGACTATTGGCTCCCCAAAAAAAAACAATGGTTGAATTAGATTGAAGCAGTTGAATAGAAGAAAATGATCCACGGATAGCAATCCGACTACAGTATACTATAGTTACTTATCTATATGGTTACTTTTTTTAAGACAACTGTAAAATCATGAAAGCTATCGTAACTTTGTTATTTTTTTTTGCTTGTTTATCAAAGACAACTACATAGTTTGTCATATTTCTACTATATTTTATGGTTCCGTTGTTACTCCATGGTTGCTCCAACGAAGGAAACTTCCTCCCGTCTCCTGCAACTGTAGCATCTCTGGTAGCGTGAAGGGCATCGAGACAGGAGCTGAGTGATGGTGACGTCATCATGCTGTATGATGTTTTGGTGATGTCAGTCTATTCTTTTTGAAGAAACTACATACATATATATATACTATAATCAGATCTAATCATTCAGCATATTGAAATTATTCAGTTATCCCAAGCAAATCGTCTCTTATTTTCATGCATCTCTTATGATCTTTGCCGATCCAATCTGAGAATCGGCCACGTTCAGTGGGAGAAACTTTGCCTCAGGACGTTTAGGATGCGCAGCCCACAACAAGGAGTCTCAGGCTCTGCAGATGTCCGGGTTGGTTCTTCAACGTAGCTATGGCAAATCACCATTAAATCACCAATGGGCCATTTCCCGTCCCAATGGGCCAACGGCTAGAATAACCAGAGGGAAGTGATCCAATGAAATAATGATGTGTTTATCCATTTTGATTGGGAAATTGTTTATATATATATACATAAATATAGATATGAAGCAATAATTGTACAAATCAAATACCTGGGTTGTCATGGAATTCTGGTAGATCACCAACAATGTGACGCGGACTTTCCAACACCTGGGTTGTTTGAAGTTATCATTGGCTTGGCAGTTCCACCATGTTTCCGCCTTGGACCATGGTACAATGAAGGATATGGCAGCTGGAATAGGATCCCCCAAGAGTTGTAGGATACATGTTTTGGCCACAAATCTAAGAGTCTAAGAGTCTAAGAGTAGTGCTGGGAAAGCAGTGGATGTGATATGATGTGATGGGCGGCTTCCATGGTGAGGTCAGTCCGGAAACGAAGTACTGCTTCATGGAAGGCAGGGCAAATTCCCCATGCGTTGGATGGTCAGCTTACTTCATTGGGTCAGAATATGGGTCCCTAACTTTGACCCACAAAAAGGGCATTCTATAACCCATAGGATCCATGGTGCTGCTATATAATGCTATAACAATATGGTAACATTTACCATCAATATACCATCATTATACCCCATTCATGTTAGCATATATATATACCATACATGGATCCTATGGGTAATGTCATTAAACATGTGCAAGTGAATCTGGCGGAATCGAAGCATTTCCCTGCATCATCTACTTCCACTGCAGAGCTTTGAGAAGTGTTGCGGAGTGTTTTCTTCTCCAGGCGGGAGCCAATGCAAAGATCAGCCCGGAGCAAAGGCCTCCACGGAATTTTCAGGCGCCGGACTAGTCCTTACTCCATGGGTCAAACCTATGCTACCACTCATAGAATTGGATGATGGGAAAATTTACAGGAAAGCCCTATATTTGATGGCAAAAACCATGGTTTCCTGTAGATCTTCCCTTAAACCAATCCATTGAACCACATGTTGATGAACATCCATTCATCAGCCATTTCTTCGGGCTCAAGGCGGTTGATATATCTGGATAGTCCCTTGCGACAGGTCTATATTGGAAACCATGTAGCGAGATCGACAACTTGATGCAGATCTTTCCACACAGCTGCTTGGTTGGTTGGATTTGAATTGGTGGGAATGGATTGAATGGTGGAATTTGATGGTTGATTTGATGTCGTTGGTTGTTGACTGGATGGTTTTGGTCACGTCAAATTCATGCGGTTTTCATGGGTTTTCACATGAAAAACATCGCAGTTGATTCGCCGAATATCGTCTCAGATGTGATATTCTTGTTCGCAACCTCGGGTTTGTCTGAATAGATGGCTTACCCCCAAAAAAAACTGGTTTATCATCACGTTCGCCGTAAAAAAGGGCCGCAACATCGGGCCATCATCTCGTTCTTGGAGAAATCCATCGATATTCTGACCGCCGTGTCTAGTCAAATCACATCTTCTTTATCTTCTTTGCACATTGAATCACCATTTTTCAGGTCCAGTGGTCCACTGATGTCCAGTGGCTAAGGCTGCCAGATCTTCAAGACAGATCGGAGTAAAGGAGATGCTGCGCTGGCGCCTTAGAACTGGGATCAGCCTCCAGTAGCCTCCAGTAGCCGGGGGGAACCCATCAGGTTTCATGAGATTTTTGTATCACAATCCATGAAAGAGATATTGAAATTATTGAATGGAAGATCACTTATCTAAATTTGATATCCCCATTAAGACAAATCCCAAAGATATGTTTGTCGAATGGGAATATATTCCATTCAATGGGGATATGGAGAATATATTGGAAAATATCATCCACAAATGTATGGGAATTCTATTAAAAATGAGGATGGAATGGGTGAACAACCAATAGATTGACATGACCAGCTATGGATTCAGGCAACAGCTGGTGTCGAAGATAAAGGAGCTGCAGAGTAGCGAGGGAAGTCAGAATCCAAGTCCCACAAACATGCGCGCACACAGATAGATATATTATGATATATTATTTATTATATATATATAAATGTTACATTCATATACTATTGTTTATATGTAATTATTCATATTATGACAAATTTTCAGATGAAACAGAGGAGTGCAATAATTAAGATTGCATCGGAGCACACACACAGAAATTGTATAGCCTATAGGTCAATATTTCATTCATTCGTTGGTTCGTTCATTTGTGCATTCAGGTCACAGCTTCATACCTTCAAGGCCCTTGGAAGACATGAAACAGTGGATGGCCTACTGGGACGTACCTTGGCAACTTCGCCCGTCCATATCCCATGGCGGATCCATGTATGGTATATAATTATCAATGGATTGGTTTAGGGAAATTTTTACAGGAAAACCCCATATTTAAATATATTTAATGGTAAAAACCAATCCATTGAATATATAATATGCTAACATTTGGGGTATATTGATGGTAAAATATGGGATCCATGTTACCATATATAGCAGCACCATGGATCCGTCATGGGTATGGTAGCAACGACTCGCAACGACTCGGGACTTTCGTCACGGAAAGTCTTTGTTGATGTTTGTTGACTGAAAGAAAAAACCACGTGACCATGTGTTTTCTTCACTAATAGGTGGACTGGCCGCAGAGCGATTTGCTCAAGCCCTGAGACTTTGACAGGCAACCTGCAACGGTCATTCGAGTACCACAAACAGTCATAACCATTCATAGCCATAGCTGCTATATGTTAAACTTATGTTAACCCACTTTGAGACGTAAGGAATGGCCGATCAAGATACAGGGAAGAAACAAAGTCCAAGTCCCACTGGCGCCAAAATCAAGCCACAAGAGCTCAGTGGAGTGGAGACAGCATGGAGCCGACCCTAACTCTCCAAAGTTTCCGTGGCCTTTTAATTCAAATGGCACCATGGGCTCAACCATTTGCCACCACCAGGAAAGCCAGGACCTCAGAAGAAATCTCTGCTCTGCAGCTCCATCGCCATGTCATGTGGTTTTTGACCCAACTGCCCAACTGAGGTTCCTATTCGCAGTACGGCCCCAGATATTCGGTGGTCCCTCGGATATTGTTGGATGCATCAGGATAAAAATCTAAAGTGAACACGAAAAACGTCACAAAAATGTCAAGATGTTAAATCTCACCCATTTCGAGCGCTTTTTTTTGCCTTTTGCCTGTTTGGACTTGTCATATTTTGTCAGGGGGATGAACTTTGTGATCGAGCGCCAAAGTGCGTTGGAAGATGCGATGCCCCTTGCAGCATTGGTTACGAGCTAAGTTCCTGCCTCAGTTTGGATTTGATTGCCGCAATTCGGAAGGGAACAAGTTGAGGTCAAGGGATACCGAGTGTTTAGTAAAGTTCAGTACCCTCTGGTAAACTAACATAGCTATGGAAAATCACTATGTTTTATGGGAAAATTCACTATAAATGGCCATTTTCAATAGCTATGTTAAATTACCAGAGGGTATCTCAATTTCCCATGATATCTTTAGTCAAGTTTTGAAATGCTTTGAGGAAGCAGAGAGGAAGATATCCTCGCAGCAATCAACTCAGCTGCTGTCGATCAAGGGATTTGAAACTGATGGAAACTTCCTGAAAAGATCTGGTACAGAAGTCTTCAATAGCCATGGAATTCCCTGGAACTTCAGTGAATTCCAGGGAATTCCAGTGAATTCCAGTGGCAATTCGCGGAAAGACCTGACGGATTTAGGATTGGACCAAGCTGGACCTTGGTTTGACTCAAAGCTCTAGGCGAAACTGCAGTGGAAACTCTTCTCACCGCTGAGTTTCCAGATCTAATCAGTTTCAGAGCTTTTTTGATGGTCAGAGAGTCAGAGATCTTCAAAGACTTCAAAAACTGGTTGGTGGTTTGGAACATGAATTTTGTTTTTCCATATATTGGGAATTTCATAATCCCAACTGACTTTCACTCCATCATTTTTCAGAGGGGTAGGTTAACCACCAACCAGAACACCTTAAGCCAAAGTTTATCTTCATATCTGACATCTGGATACATCTGATCTGGCAGGCCAAAGCCCTTGCAGCGGCCGCCCATCGTAAGCCCTGGAGGTTTTCCTGCAGAAATCTGTGACGAATCTGTGACGAATCCTATAAGTCATGGCCATTCAAAGTGGAGATGATATTTTCGCCAGTGGATTTGGTATAAAGTGTATGAGGACCATTCAAAAACCAAGGAATTTGAGGATAGAAAAGGATAGAAAAGGATAGAAAAGGATAGAAACCCATGTTGATGTTGAGAAATTCCATTCCGATGTGACCCATAGAGCTGGATATAGCTGGATATCCATTGGACGGTTTCACTCCTGTCCCCTGCTTCATGAGGCCTGGTTTCTCGCCACTGTGGAGGGACTGGAGGAGATCCGTACTGTGACCAGAAGGGTTTACTGGCCCATCTCATTCGATCATGAAAAAATCCCTGACTTTGAGATATACAGAAAAAAACACAGTAATGATCGTAATGAATCAATGTATTATGTTTTTTTTACACTAATCAAACGTACACACCAAGATCATGCTATGCCATGCCACTGGTTTTTTTTTATGACCTCAGGAGTTGGGGCGAGTATCAGCTATCAAGCAGCCCCAGATCCCTCTGAGGCTCAACGGATCAGGGTGAGTGTTCAACGATGATCGGATCATTCGATGGTGGCAGATGTTGGGTGAAAAACTGGGTGTGATATGGTATGATATCATCCAACATCATCCGTGAATCTAGTCTTCAATCATCTGACGATGATCCAGATGGACAAACATCAATGTCGATATCCCCTTCCCCCCAGAGCTTTTAGATGAGGATATCCCCAGAGAAATGGTGCCGGCAAGAATTGGGAAGGAATATTCATGAAATTCAGGAATGAAAGCGAAGCCAGTGGTTTCAAAACAAAAATGATGTATCATAATAATGGTGTATGATACAGTGGTGTATCACTATAATATCTATAATATCCTATATATTATAGTGGACTACCACTATAATATCATATTTATATATATATATATTATAGATTATTATAGTGGTGTATCATAATTATACCCACCAAAAAAGGATACGGGACACGTCCGGTTTCTTTTCGAATCATTCTGAAAATCCCGCAGGCCTATGAGCTGAAGCCTCGACCCATTGGCAGCTGGGCACCAACAGAGTGGAACAGTAACGACAGTGTTGAGATTTCTTGGTGATGTCTTTAGATATCTAGAAAGACATCTTTAGTTTTTTTTAGTGAATGCTACTAATCTGTTGAATATCTGTTGATACTCTTCATATGCGATGTTCGGATTTACCTCCTTGAACCTGAATGGGGAACATGGACCGCCTGAGGCTTTGGTTCTTACGCGGAGGTCCTCTTGGCCAGACACAAACAAACCAGGATGCTAAGAGCCTTGAAGCGGAAGTGCAAGGTGGATTCGGTTGATGTGGTCGAACATGCCGAGATTGCTTGATAGGATTCGGAGTTTTCAGGGTTTAGGGTTTGTCGTCCGGGAAATACCAAAACGCAGGCCCGCAGGTATTTGAGCATGTCTAAGGATATTGTTTGAACACCGTTCTAACCTTCTGGGCAAACCATAGGGTCTTGCCGTAACGTTAGTACAGACAGTACGTTGCATATGTGCATCTATTCCAGAGGTTTGCACATGTTTGCACCAATTGTTGTACTGTCATACCTCAATGATATAGAAGATGAATGATATCTTCGTATTCACACATGTTTTTTTTGTTCACAAAGCGACTCTTTTTTTTCCCTGGCGCAGTGCTCGACGGAGGTGCCAAAGCGGCAGCTCTTGATTGAAGATGATTTGGATGATGATTTGCCCAAGAACCCCATCATTGAGCGGAGCAAGAAACGAAAAGAAGAGGCCCCAATAAATGGGAAAGGAAACCGGACGGGTCCCATCTGTTTTGGTGGGTATAATAATTATGATACACCACTATAATATATTGGATATCATAGCGATACACCACTATCATACACCATTATTCTGATGCATTATTATTTGTTTGGTGCATGTTGAATATTGATCTTACAAAGGCATTGCACCAAAACAAGATGCAGCCCACGAACCCGAATGCAGTCACGTAGAACACTTTTGAGAAACAAGTTATTTGAACAGTCTACATTTTTCCCCTGTTACCGTACCAGTGCGCTGTAGACTGTTGAACGGTGGAGTGTAAAGTGTAGAGTGTGAAGTGTGGAGTTTTGAGTGTAGAGTGTGGAGTGTACAGCACGCAATGCGACACGTCTAAAGTGCTGCGCCACGAAACATTCAACGCATCTTCTGAAAACGAAGAGCCCTGCGAGCCACGCCTCAGTCCCCAGACCCCCAGAGTGAAACGGGACCTGTGCTACGCATTCAACGGTCTCTCCCAGTCACCTGACCGTGAAAGATTTTGGATGTTTTCATCCCGTTGATCATCATTTTCCCCATTCGAGTGGCCATGAATTGGCTGCAGATTTGTTGTAAATCGTCCATTTTTGTTGGATCAAACTGATCAAATCATTGTTGTTCACCACAGGTCCGTGAAGTGGAGGTGCTCCTTCGCCTGATTCCCAGCGGTCTTTCCGGGATGGCACTGGCACATCAGCATACATCAGCTGCATCCACCCTGTCGTTTTTTCAAATGTGGCCGGGAAATCCCCGAGTTTTAGTTCGTCGGGAAAATGATCTATAGCTAAATGATGCTAAACGATGGATTTTCCAGCAAACCATCTAGCTGGTGACACCGGAGGGTAATAGAGGCTTCCCCTTTTTCTGCAACCAATAGGTCAATAGGTAGATGATCATGATATGATCATGAAATACAATCAACATCAATGAACCCTAACACCAAACCGACCCTCATGTATTCTTGCTGGGAACATGTTGAGCTGCTGCGTGAAAATTCACAGAGAGGTTTAGATCATCCCAATGTGGTGAAGCTCTATGAAGTCTTTGAAGATGAGGAGCTGAGGTTTACGATCAGATTTGGCCTTCAGTATTGACATGTATTGATTGACCCCCCATTGGGTGAAGTTGCTGATGCAGATTTCAGGAAAATTGGAATAGATGAGCGATTCAATGAAATTTCATGTTGATGTTGTTTTTTAAATTCATATGGGCCATTTGAAGATTTTGAAGATGGGAATGGCAAGTTCAGTTAAAAGTCTTGGGTGAAAAGTAGATCCCTAGCGTATGGAGTTGACATTCCAGGAGAATATTTGCCTCATTATGGAGCTTCTGAAAGGAGCGGCGCTGATCATTTCAGCAGACTTGGTCATTTCAAACCAAAGATTCTCCAAGAAAAACAGTTGGCATTGCAGATGAAAAGTTCAAAGTATAGAATTCCCAAGCCAGCTGGTTCTTTGTTGTTCTTGGTGACATTTTCAACATATCTCAACCGTTTCAGACAGCTGGAAGGTGGCAGTTTGCTGGAGCGGATTTGCCCGTCCAAAATCAGTTTGGACCCGAAGAGTACCAGCTGCAGTGCCGCGATTTGGGGATTTGGGTCAATCTAAAACAGGTCAAACATCACTGGTTGGTGGTTTGGAACATTTTGATTTTTTTCCCCAATACTTGGGATGATGATCCAATCTGACGAACTCATATTTTTCAGAGGGGTAGGTCAACCACCGACGAGATTATTTGGCTTCTTGATTTTCCATCAAGAAACACAGACAGATGAGATTTCCCATGAAAAAACACAGACAGATGATGTTCTACTCGTTTTTGTTACTCGACTTTCTGTGGTTCACATTTCGCTTCCAGCAAGGTCCTCGTAGTGTGCCCTGGGAAGAAAAGTCTCCTCGGTATGAGTTCGACCGACATCAACAAGGCGGAGCGGCGGAGCGACCGGACCGGCGCGATGATTTGTCGACTCGAAAAAAATCCCAATTGGGTGATGTCGAAAATTAGGGCTTCGAAGATTGGATTTTCTACATCACGAATTTTTGATCTGAAGTTCAGATGTCTTATGATGTCTTGGAGGTTTGTTACTCTGAGCCTTTTGAGCCTCCAAAGGCACGAGCGTCGCATTGCAGGAGTTTGAGGCCCGGATTTTTGTGCTTCGAAGTTCTGGGATGCAGCAGATTTGATACATCCGTTGTCATTCCGATGTTTGCTCCAAAGCCAATTGCAATGACAATTTAGGATGCTGCTTTACATTGTTGGTCTCAATATATTGACATAGTTATATATAATTCTGACATAATTCTCGCAGAATTCTGACCTGAAATTCTCCCATAAAATCAGCATCCCCCCTCGCAGGCAGCTCGACTCTTTTGGCAGATGCTGAGCGCAGTGATTCATCTTCACGGTCACCGGGCACCAGCCTCAACTCTGGCAAAAGTCGAGGATTGGGATAGGGTTTTCTCATGTTTTCTCCATGAAATCATGGGTGAAATTGCAGATATGAATGGAGATACCCTCTGGTAATTTAACATAGCTATTGAAAATGGCAGTTTATAGTGGATTTTCCCATTAAAAATGGTGATTTTCCATAGCTATGTTAGTTTACCAGAGGGTATGAATTGGGATATGAATGGGGGAAGGGATCGATTTTTGGTGTTTTTCTCTCGTTACGAATATCCCACTATACCGTAGCAGCCCCATAGAATGGTTTGTCGAATCAGCATGATTTTAGTAGGCGAAGCCCACTTCGAATGGTGATATGATGGGATTTTTGGACTTTCCATGTAGCAAAGATAGACCCATGCAACTTATTTACATTGTACAACCTGAATCAACCTGAAACGTAGATCCCTTGACACTGTATGTTTAAGTATACCCATGGACCATCATGAACCTGTATGGATCTACTATTTGCATCTGTTTTGTTTGCACAATAGGTACATACACGCACAGATTTTGACAATCAACGTTACAAATGTTCGAATGTTTGTTGGCAAACAATCGATAGAATCGGAGGATTGGATTGGAATTCATTGGATGTTGATTGGATGTTGATACAGATGAATATCCCAAGACGTTTTTAGACTTGCAGTGTAAGATGGAATTTTCGGGACCTGACCAGCTGTGAGGTGGTTCATCGCGACCTGAAGCTGGACTGCCATGCAGTGAATCCCATGGATTCCATGGTTGCCATGCGATCGATTCAGCTGCGTGGCACAGGAACACTTCATTTTTTCCAGTCAAGATGAAAAAGCTCAACTGAAACTGGTGGACCGACCTGGGCATGAACTGAGCTGAGAATTCTCTATTCGAGAAGGGAAAGCAGATGAAAAATATATGACAATTCAGAACATCGAGACAAGACTAGGACTCAGTTTCCTTTCACTTATTTCGTTGAGCTCTTTCTGCACTCGTCCTGTGTTTTTTTTGCAATATGAATACATGATGAAGAATCATATGCAGCTTCTGCAGCTAGACTGAAGAGATCCAATCCTGTCCTGCTCGCATCAAGAAACCGCTGGCATTTGTAGATGTTCATCTCCAAAAGAAAACGGGAAAGACATGTAACTGGAAAACATGTAACCCAAGAATGACCAAAACCTTTATGGGGATGGGTGAAAACATGTCACAACCATGTTTGGTAGCCATGTTTGGAGGAATAACCATCAGAATCAACCAATGATTTTTTGTCGGGTACCATTTTTTGGTCGGGTCAACTGACCTACAGTTGACCTACAGTTGACCTACAGTTGACCTACAGTTGACCCACATCCTTTGGAAAATCCTCCAACCCCTGCAGGATTTTGGGCATGCCTGGCCGTTGAAGCCCATTGCTACCACTGGACTCCTTGAGACGGATGGGATCAGTCTGATGGTGGCGACTCAGCTTGAAAAATGAGCCATTTCCAACCCGTGTTGATTGGGTATAGTGGTTATACAGCTATACAATGTTATATACAGTTATACCTTGTTGACTGGAGATAGTTATGAAGTTTTCCATGATTTTCATGGGGAATTCTATTCAACATCTATCAAGCCGGTATAAGATGTATAATGGGATGAGATCTTTTGTATTTTTCATGGCTCAAACGGATTGACCGTTGGCGGCTAAGTAGAATTGTGACTTCAGGACGTCACTCTGACGAAGTGTTTCTGCAATGATTTGAACAGAAGTAGCACCTTTCCCAGCAGTCAAAATCTGGTTGGTGGTTTGGAATATGTTTTATTGTCCACAAAAAAAGGATAATTGATAGCACCATTGACTCCTACCCCTGCTTTGGCCAGATTCGATGGGCATTCCCCATGGCAGTGCTCCAAATGCAGTGCTCCAATGTGGTGTTTGCAGGTCCAAGAGATCTCGATTCCAGGAGGAGCAGGGACGAATCGCTACGTTGCCGCTGGCCACTTTTAGTGAGTGCGAGTTGTTTCACCAGTTTCACCAGATACCCTCTGGTTATGACTAACATAGCCATGGAAAATGGCCCATAGAAATAGATGGTTTACCTATTAAAACCTCCATTTATAAGGGTTTTTCCATGGCTATGTTAAATAACCAGAGGGTACATCCAGGTACAGTCCTGTGATAAAGTTGTTGGTTTGGTGCTCGCTCCAGCTTCCGGATCTTCCGGCCCAGGCTCCAGAAGTTCAAGATGAGAGTTGTGGCCTCAATGCCATGCGGAAATCAATGTGAAATCAATGGCAGCTGCCTCAAAAATGAACGCATCCACTTCTGTTCATGAGGTGATGTAGCTGCACATTTGGCTGACCGCGCGGACAGCCAAATGGGATTTTGGGATTTTGGGGCAGTATGGACATGATTTCGTGTGTTCTAAAGTTATGGATGTTATGGGCTGCCCATTGTGCTTGGGACATTTATTTTTGGCATGACATGGGCTGCAACAACCCAGAGACACGATTTGGCAAGGACATTTGGGCGCTCGGTGTTTGCCTTCACGCCATGCTCACTGGCAGGTGCTGTTGAGGAGTTTCTGTTTCACATAGCGGCTACACTTTAGTGAAACCAACAAGTCCCAACTGCATGATGACCGCTATAGCTGCTATATAATGCCAACATCGGATTAATCAACCGCCCCCCCCCCAGAAGGTCAGAACTCTACCTTGTAGGTCATTTTCTTGATCCCCCTTAATAATAAGCAACTCTGAACCATAAAACTTTGGATATGGCTTCCGTCAATTAGATCTTAATAGAATTCCATTGGATTTGTTAAAATCTCATGGATCAGAAAGGTGGTTGATTAATCAGGGGCAAATCGTGGTTATTATTAATGGGGGACATGGGCTCATGGGGGGTACCCTTTGGGAGCTATCCAAATTGATGATTTTTATCAATATTTTAATTAGAAATCGATCATTTGGGGAATAGTTGTTTTTTGAAATTTTCAATGATCAACTTAAACCTTAAGTATAACAATGATGATAACAAAAAAATGTAAAAAACAATTGGAAATAAATAGAATTGGAAATAAAAGTGTTGGATAAAAGAATGGATTTCAGCACAGGGGGTTGATTAATCATGTCCCAGCCAAACGCTTTATTAATCCTGGGGGACCACCCTTTGTTAAATTACATTAAAAAAATTGGGCAGAGGGGGTTGATTAATACCGCGGGGATTATTAATCCTAACTTGGCATTACATAATTATATATATAGTATTATATATATAGTATTATATATATAGTATATAGTATTATATATAGTATATAGTATTATATATATATAGTATTATATACATAGTATTATATATATAGTATTATATATATAGTATTATATATATAGAGTATTATAAATATATATTATACATGTACATATGTTGTAAACAATTACAGGTATTGTTACAGGTACATCGGCCTACCAAAGCCGTGAGGCTTCTACCAGTGAGTGGGACGCTCACACAGGCCGAGGATTTCACCGTCGTTATGCAACAGGTTTAGTTTCAGCCCATGAAATTACTTCGTTATATCATGTTATATCATGTTACCCTCTGGTAAACTAACATAGCTATTGAAAATTGCCATTTATAGTGGATTTACCCATTAAAAATGGTGATTGTCCATAGTTCCGTTAGTTTACCAGAGGGTATATTGTGTTATATCATGTTATATCATTGTATATCCCCCCAATCAACCATAGAATTCACTAAGTTGGGTTCAAAATCCGGCAACTTAGAAACAAGTCCTATCCATCCATTTCATCAGGTAGCCAGCTTTGACGCAAAGACTTCAGCACTGGCAGAGGTGGGGATGATGCCGTGATGTCTTGCCCTCGCAATGGCTGAGTGGGTCAGAAAGTTGGGATATCATTGGTGAGAATCTGTAAAGAATGTAGATGTGGATACAACATGATAATATCATGATGTGGATATAACATGATATAACATGAGAATAATTTTTGGTTAGTGGTTTCAGATGTAACTGTTGAGTTCGCAAGATTTGGGATGATCCGCAATGATGGAAATCATAAACTGGATATGATGTGACGTGTGTGTGTCGTGTTAGTCAATCTTATAAACAACCATAGAAGTGAGAAATGTCCTGGAGAGTATTCTGTTTTTTTTGTGCTATGGGCAAATACATGACATGGGGGTTATGTATTTTATATCCCATAGGATCCATGGTGCTGCTATATATGGTAACATGGATCCCATCAACATACCCCCTTTATGTTAGCATATATACCAGCACCATGGATCCGTCATGGGATATAGATACCTATAGATACCATACATGGATCCCATTTATAGATGGTTTACCTATTAAACATGGTGATTTTCCATGGCAAACTGTGAATGTCATAACCAGAGGGTATATTCTAAGTACATGCGCCATACAGAGACGTCATGATTTTACGCAGCCAGGCCGAGATATGGTGGGGCGGATATGGCCTCTCTACTTTGGCCATTGACTTGTAAAGTGCTGAGAAATCTTGAGAAATCTGAAAGCAAACATGGGTATGTCTGAAAATGGGGTATACCCCCAATGAAATAGCCATTTAGTAGGGATAATGATCAGCAAAACCATTGGGAAAATGGGGTACACTATTTTACCCACATGGCAAGATTTTAGATGAACAGCCGCTTTGAGCATCCAAAAAGTTTGCTGACCTATAAAGTGATGTTCCGATTGCTGTTTGGCAACGATTGGCCAATAGTCTTGAACTATTGCAATTGGCCTTGTGCCGATCATCAACCTAACCAGGACCTTTGGGTGCCATTCCCGACCCAACAGGAGGTTTTCCAAGTCATGGAGGTGCCGCTGGAGGTACCTCCATGACCAAACGGAAACCTCCCGTTGCGGCCGAGGCTCAAAGAACTTCTGAGACTGAAACCGGAGAAGCGGCCCAGTGCTGCGGCCATCGCCAGACACCCGTGGCTTGTCGGGGTTCTCAGAATGGACGTCCAAGTTAATATATATATATATACATGTAGAATACATTAGATATACATACGCGATATATGTTCACATATGTCTACATACATACATACATACCTACCTACCTACCTACATACATACATACATACATGTATATATATATATATACGTACGATATATGTTTACATATGTCTATATATATAATATGTAGCTCTGGATCAATTTTGGCACCCCTTGGACCAGCTTGACACCAGACATTTTTTACAAGTTTTTATAGACATATTTTTCGATTCATATCCCCCCTGAAGAAAATCCTGGGTTTAGCCGACCACTCAGGAGATTGCTGCCCGTGATGACCTCGCTGAAGCAGCAACTTTTATGATTCCCAGGCGGCCAAATGCGGAATAGTTGCCAAAATTTGGTCATTTATGGATCACGTAATGTACATATATAAAGATGTACATATAGCTGGGTCATTTTGTTCTGCGAGGTCTTTTGAATGACATTTTTGGTTTCTAAGTGGTGAGCTGTTTGTAGGTTCATCAGCGACCTGAACGTCATAATGGAAGCAACGTCTCTTCGACGACTCTTCCTTTTGGCAGTGGCTAGGCAAGCAGAGGCCCGTGAAATGCCGTGGAATGCCATGGGGATTAACATATCTTGACATCTTGAAATAGGTATGTCTGAAAATTGCTTAAATGCCCATGAAAAATCTCATGTGGCCATTAAACTGCAGGGTTTCCCTGCAGGGAAACTCCATGGTTTTCAGAGAAACCCAATAAAAAACCATGATTTCCACATTTTTGGCGTTTTTTCCCACATTTTTCCCAGCGTCAGATCGGTGAGGACGAGGATTGCTACCCTTTCCCGTGTCTCTTCCGGGCCTTGGAGGCTGGATTTGGGGTGGAGGCTTTGGACGGCTCTTATTTGCGTATATGGAAAGTAGTATTCGGGCGTACCCCGGTTTGTCAAAAACATCATATTTAGTTGTAAAACGAGGTAGGAACACCCCGAGAACGAGGCAGGCAAAAACGTTACGGGACTGGAGAACGAGGTAGGAACAGCCCGTCAATTGCGTTATGTAACAAATATGGTTCGCAGCTCATATCAAAAGATATGAAAAGATATGAAAAGATATGAAAAAATATGGAAAAATATGAAAAAATATTAAAACATATGAAAAGTAAGTGCTTCATAAATTCCTTGAAACCTTCAACCTGTTAGATCCAGATGTCAACTTCTTCAAACCAATGGGTCGCTTCAGGCGCAATGTCGTGGACCTCTGACTCAGAAAGCCATGGCGATTGCGCTTCAGAGGCTGGATATGTTCGGTATTGGAGGATGGAAGAGTTGGGTATGGGAAATTGGATTTGTTGATTGCTGATACTTCTGTTTGGTCATGGTCAATGCTTTGGAACATATATTTCTGTTTGTTGAGACTAGAGTCTGACTAGACATATCCCCGTGTCTTCACCAATGTCTTAAGACTTGATTTTTTCGAGATCGGAGTTTGGAAAAATACTAAGAAATTCCTATGATGGTGCCAGTGGTGCCATGATGTGCCATGGGAAATTGATGGTGCCATTGGTGCCAAAATCCAGGCTGGGGAGCCTCCAGAGCCCAGCACCGGAGCAGCAGTTGCTGTTGCAGGTCATGAAAGTCGGGGAGCCATGGGGAGCCCAGCCGGGTTGGACACGTGCTGAAAAGGTTGCCGGGTGGTGTACCAAAAACGGATCCGTTTTGGGGTCATGACATTGGTCAAAGTTTCAAGTTACCATAGATGCAATAGATCTGATCATTGATGATCATTGATTTGGGCCATTTCTGCTATCAGGATTCCTTGAGAGAACTTACTTTCATAAATGTATCATGTATATATACATATAATAATATATATAGAGATATAGATATCTTATATTGGAGACCTATCATATCTTTCCAACGTTTCCCTTGGGACCAGCAGGACGGATCACCGGACGGACCCACCGGACGGATCCAGCAGGATCACACGTCACCGCCGCATCCACCGAGGCCGTGTATGTGGTCATGGGAGCCATCGATGCAGATGCCTCTGGGAGTATCAGCTGGGCAGAGTTCCTGGCCGCCATTTTTCTGAGCCAGGAGGGGGAACACTCGACATGACGCTGGGCTGGAAAAGGGCTTGGAAGATGGAGATTATAGCCGATTATTTATAGCCATAAATACAATCATCAGCCATAAATCCATTGGAAATGTTCATGGATTGTCATGGACTTTCTGGATCTTGCTGTGATCTTCACATGTAGCACCAGTGGTTTCCACTCAGCTTCCCATGAGGGCTGGTCTCCTGATCCAATGTCGCCCCAGTGGAGGAAGAAGTCCTGAAGTCTCTGCGGAAGAAACAGCTGCAGGCCTAGTGGAGCCGATGAATGTCGTCCAAATGCTGGTTTTATCTGCAGGTTCTTGGGGAAAACCATGATTCTGGGTAAATTATAACGACCTCACTACGACCTCACTGGAATCATGGTTAGTAAGGGAAATCATCCCAAAATGGCCTTAATTCAGGTTAGTGAAATATTATAATTTACCCAGATGATTTGTTCATTGGACAGGTGGGGATTGGTTCGTGGATGAAGAACAAGAATTTTTGATGAATCCAGGAGAGTGCCTTTGATCGAGCATGTTTTCGGGCCTTTGATCATCTGTCCATGAGTGGGGGAGCCTCAAGGGTGGAAACTGTGGAAACTGGTGCATAAAAGGACCCAGAATGGGATGAAACCAGTTTTTTTGACAAAAACAATCCCTTCCTCTAAAATGACCCAGAGTTTCTGGTGTTGTGTTCATTATCTATTAGTCTAGAGTACAGTCTTGTATTCATGTTGGGAGCCCATATTGGGGGTACTGTTTTAACGGGGGATGCGAAGAGTTGTGTCATAGTGGTGTCATGTGTTAAGGCCCATGGGGGGACAGCATAAAATAGGAAGTTATACCATAGATGTCCAGCGATGGTTCAAGAAAGATTTTATAAAGATATTGGGTGAGCCCACTAGAACATCCTGAAGGGATCCCATGCCTTTTTGATTCATCTATCTTTGGGATAGCTTGAAGCCACCAGCTCAGATGATACCGTTCGGTTTTCCACAATCGATTGGTTTAAGTTGTTTTTTTTTGGCAGGAAAGCTCCATATGTGATGGTCAAAGCCATGAATTTCCTGTAGATTTTCCCTCCGGCGCTCCTCTCAGGCCATCAAAAGATCTCCCCAAGCTCGTTAGACTCTGAGGGACTTCCAAGTTGGCGTCATGGGTCATGTCAAGTTGGTGTCATGATACGATATTTGAGAGGTGTTGGGTATCATTGTATCTCATTATCACCATATATTACATATACATATATATATATATATATTCACATTATATCATATATAATTATAGAAGTACATATCATTATAAACCCGTATTAACCCTTAATAATTGATAATAATCGTTATTGTATACCATTATTACCTCAGCCAAACATGTGTGAAATTTCTAACTGGCCGCCAAGGTTGTGCCGTACCCTCCGGTCGCACAAGGCAGCCGTTTTGTGATTCTTTGGGACGCAGAAAACTGGTGGTTGGACACTGGGGACCATAAGTGAAACATCCATGGGATCTGAAAACTACCAACGGATTTTCACATCCATTAGATGTTGGACAGTATTTGGAAGTAAAACATTATTACTTCTCATAAGATCTAAATGATCTGAAGAATTCTAAAGAGCTCGTGGCACTTCAGTTTTATGGTAATGATGATTAATGATGGTAATGCCAACCATGAACATTTTGTTTTGTCCAGTTATCAGAATTCTCAGTTATCTTCCTACTGATTCATGGTCTCAACATTGTCAGACTCCTTCTGATCGAGGCACACAAAGCTGTTGTTGATCCCGAGGTGCGTCAGCAATTTCTCGTCTAGTGATGCAATTTCCCGGTTTTTTTCTTAGATGAGTTTGTCTGAACATGTTGGGAAAGAACAATATTTCATAATGAACATTCTGAACAGCCCAAAATCTGATGGCTGATTCTGGTTTATTATCATGATCCTGATCAACATACTTTCGGACAAAGCCACATGTCAGGCCATGTTCAAAGAGTCCCACACTTAGCAGCTTAGGCATTGACCGGCAATTCACCAATATTCACCATAGGTGACACACACACAGTTGAAGCGAGGTTCGATTCCATCCCGGCATTTTCACTGGAGGACGCTGGTGTTGTGCTGGACCCGCCTGAGATCCATTTGGTGAATCATGAAAAAAATGTGGAAACATCCATACCCAATGGTTGGTGTATGTTGGTGTTCAATGTTTTTTTTAATCCATACCCAACACACATCCAAACACCAAACATGTAATGTTTGGAACATTTTGGAACTCACCCGAAATTCCATTAATTTAGCATCAAACAAACAATCAAATCAATCAAGAGCTTAAAATGACCTCCCCTCAGTTCCAGACTCATCCCAAAAGAAGACATCATCACCATATGACTCTAGAGGTACCCTCTGGTAAACACACAATAAACTATGGAAAATCCCCATTTTTCATGGGAAAACTCACTATAAGTGGTGATTTTCCATAGTTATGTCAGCCATAACCAGAGGGTATCCCTCCAACAAATAGGTCCATGATTGGTCCACAGGACTTCCTACAGACCTTGGACGGTGCAGAGATGCCATTGCTGAAGGAATCCATCGCAGAAGAGCCGCTGCCACCGCTGCCACCGCTGCCGCCGCCCAAGGAGTCTCGAGACGAGGCTCCGCCCATGGTTGATCAATGGATCCGAAAAAATCTCAGCGGAAAACCAAGGAATGACATCAAAGATTAGGACATCTTCAAAATAATAGATAATATATATATATAGATAATAATAGTCTATGAATCTGATATACATACATCTATTATTATCTATTAGTAATCCATGACGGATCCATGGTGCTGGTATATATACTAACATAAAGGGGGTATATTGATGGGATCCATGGAGCACCATTAATATAGCAGCACCATGGATCCTATATGGGAAAGATTAGGACATCTTCAAAATTTGGAAGGTGTGAAATCACCATGAAAGATTAGCTATTGAAGATATTGAAGATCAAAGATTCGGACATCTAGAAATTCACAATTCTTAGGTCTGGTGATCTGGAAAATTCTGGAAAGGTGGTCAGAATTGGTGATTTTTCACACCTTTTCGTCGACAGGAAACTCGACAGGAAGCTCGACGGAGTTTCGGAGGAATGGAGGAGCGGTTGGTGGAGGCATTTTGGGATGGCTCCATGGTGGGAAATGACGTATTCGAGACAACCAACATGTCAATATATTTCAATATATTTCAATATTCGAGTGGGTCTTAATTAGTGCCATAGGACTTTTTATAATCACTTTATCATACTTTCTAGAAGCTTCCTAGTCTTGATGCAGCTCTTTGGACGCCTTTGTTTCTCATGCGGAAGAGGGATGTTGGCGTCCGAATCATCCTGGATTTCATGCTTGGAACATTGGGGCTTCTCCACTCTTCCATGGGTCCTTTGGATGTCACTAATGTGTCCATGTGCGGCAGGAATTTATATGGGATGAACCCTGACGGCCCAGTGACAAAAAGTCTTTTCGCGTCGCACATGCAGATATTGGGGATTTGAATTTGAGACCCCTTGAGCCAAGAAAAATCCGTTGCTGTGCTTGAAGTATTTAAGTATTTCATGATATGTCATGTAGATCTCAGAATTTACAAAGGTCCCAAACCACTGAAACCAAAATTGAAACCATCAACTCAAAGGTCTCAAAATGTCTCAAAGGTAGGCACGAGAAGATGGACTCTCAGCGTTCTCCAAAACTGGATGCGCCTGAAATGAAAATCGCTGCGCAACGTGTCACCTGAAGGTTTTTCTGCCTCAAAGCTAGGTAAATTTCGTGAGATTCTGTGGCGTTTTGCGCGGAAAAGATGACCGGAAGTTCATGAGTAGAACTCATCGTTTTGATGATTTTAAACTACGTATGTTTAAGAGATTTTAAGTCCGTTTTAAGTGCATTTCTCAACCATAAACACCCTTGTGTTGCTTGTGGCAACATGTGTCGTCGCTGAGGTCGCGACACGCAAGACATTCCGAAGGCATAGGACGGCCTGGGCTTCACTGGGGACAGACACATGCCATGAACATCCATTAACATCCATCAACATCAACCTGGTTGGTGGTTTGGAACATGAATTTTATGACTTTCCATATATTGGGAATAATCATCCAAACTGACTTTCATATTTTTCAGAGGAGTTGAAACCACCAACCAGCAACTATATCAGACTATATCAGTGAGTATATCAGACTGTATCAAAGTATCAGACTATATCACCACCTGCTGAATCTTGTTTTCAAAATAAGTTGGCCCATTTGATATATTCCATGACATTCTATGACATTCCAAGTTTTGTGATCAGGCTTCGACAGAGCAGCATCAGCCCGTAGTCGCATCTGCGACTCTGCCGTTGAAGCTGGTCCAAAAAAGAAACGCGCTTCTCTGCTCAGAACGTAAAGCATCTCCTGAAGGTCTCTTTTCTTATCTTTCCTTGAAGAAGTTAAGGTGAAGTTAAGTTAAGGTCTAAGGTGAAGTGAAGTGAAGGAATTTCTTGCCGGACTTTCTGGGATGTACATGGTCTTCAGGGCTTCATCACAGGGGCAAGCGGCAAGCAAAAGGGCCATATCAAGGGACCAATTGAATAGAGCACGTAGAAAATCAATGACAATCCATGAAAATCAAAGAATATATATATATATGTATAAAATTATCTTTATATATATGTAAAGATATATCTAAAGATATATCTAAAGATATCTATAACGATTAATATAAACCTATAATATGGAGCTCCTGACATTGGTCAACCAAACACGAAGCTCAGCTCCGCCATGGTGCGAAAGTACGACTCCAAACTGGTTCGGAAACTCAGCCGCTCGTGGCGAAGTGAGTTTTTTGTGGCTCGCATCCCGTTGGCGTTTTTTGGATCTGGTGATTTTCTGGTGATTTTTGGGAACTTGAGCATCTTCTGAATGATGGGCCATTTTTCTGATAGGATATCATGAAATGTGAAGGAGAAAAATCATCATCATTCAGAATGAGAATATCATCATATCTCATGAAAATATGTGTGAATATCATGAGAAAGGATGCGAATGTGATGAAATGTGAGGAGATGCTGTGCATGATGAAAATTCTCCTGAGGATGTACCCCTAGATGAGCTCGCAGAGATTGAAAAGGTCCCGGGTGGGCATCAGGAAAGTCTGCCCAGATAATGTAGAGTCAAAGAAAAAGTGGAGAAAACCATGGGTTTCCACTGTTTTCACATGTCCGCCCCAACCCGGACGTTGCTCCACACTTACAATCGTCGTCATCGTCATCATCGTCATCGTCATCCTCATCATCATCATCATCATCATCACCATCATCATAATCATCATTTTTATCTTCATAAGGGATCAAAATTCGCCACCCCCTGTGAACAGTATGTTGATTAGGGTAATAACATCAACTTTATCTATATAGCCACCTGAAGTCAGACGCGGAGCAACGTCAGGGTTGCAGCGCACATGCCTTATAATTTTGTGCACCATCCAAAGCATGTGTTCCCGATTTTTTTGTATACTGAAAGCAGTTCTCAGAGCCCAGTGTTCAGGGAAATGGATCTGGAAACACCCGAGTCTTCGCGTGACACTCAGAGCTGAGTTTGGGTTTTCAAGTTGCAGGGTGCGACTTTTTTTTTTGGGAGGTTTTGATAGGTTTTGTCATATTTCAAGAGCGTTTTGTCGTTCACCGATGTTTTGATCCACCCTGAGGTGGGCAATTTGCCGTACAGTACATCTTGGCAGGATTTGAAAGATCACATGCGGAAGGCTGGCGACGTGCTCTTCTGTGAGATTCTGCAAGAGCCTGGCACAGCCACTGGGACCCTGGGATGAGAAGTTGCGATGGGAGGTGCTTGATGTTGATGATGTTGATGATGTTGATGATGTTGATGTCAGACCATGATTTCCTTCAGCTTCCAAAAGATACGCTTAAAATCTATCAAACTGTGGCTTTCCTGTTGGCACATTCTGATCATTCTGGGATTTAGAACGGAAAAAGCGGAACATGAAATCTCCATTTTAATGCAGGTGGACGATGATCGTTTTGAAATCATTTCTATTGGAAATTGCCATGTGGAATAAAACAACCACATATCTGGATTTCAATCTCAAACTCAATGAGATTCATATTTGCCATAGATGTGGATAACTTTCTTCACGACCTTACTGCGACCCCAATGGAACAATGATGAATAATGCTTATAGTAGGGGTAACTATCCCAACTATCATCCAACTATCCCAAAACCAACAAGTTTGTGAAGCATTGTCACTGTCATTGCTGAAGTGTTACCCAGAGGTTCATCCCTAAGCACCAACGAACTATCCAGAACTCAGGCATTGGGCTCCAAGGGTTGCGGTTGGGTTCCTTAGTTTCGAGGGCTTTTTCGAGATGCCCATGAGAAAAATCTCATGATTCATGACGATCATGGGATACTTATTGATAATGATACTTGAGTTGCTACATGTTGCTAGCTGCCCATGATTGAAAAACACAACCTTCAGCAAATCACAAACCTTCATCTCATTTTGTTTCTACATTTACCGTGTTGGCAACCTGCTACTAGGGCGTTAGAGGAGTCTATGCAGTTGACGATGAAACAGCTTCGAGACAACAAAAAAATCCTGGAACAGTCAACCCTTTCAACATCTTTCAACATCTTTCAACATCTGTCACTCAACGTGTCACCCAAGGTCTTGTAGAGTTCGCCACTCCTGCAGCTGTCAGCAGCTCGATGATCACCGATCTAGGCATGGTGCAGTGGATCTCCGTGCATCTGCGAGGCGCAGAGAGCCATCTCAGATCTCACTGGCACGGTAGCTTGACTGAAGCTGATCACGGGATCAGTATGACACTGATGCCGTAAAAAAGCAGGGATGATGTTGCTACAATAAAGACACTCATAAATGAATCATGAATTTATATCATAAATCATCACAATCTTGTCATGTTCAGCCTTCATTTCCTGAGCTGGTTCAACTTCGAGACGTCGAACGATCAGGTTATACAGGGACGACAGATCTTTGTGCGAGAGGATCGAGAGCCCGGAGACCCAAGGCGAAAAGCAACAGCGGTGTCTCGCAAAATGGAAGTTCCCTAAACCCTAAACATCCCTAAACCCTGGATTTTCCCATCCAAAACGACCAATCAATCTTAAATCATAGCTCCTTTTTGGGGTGAGCGTTTTTCAGCAGATATTTTTTTGTTGCAACTCCCACAGAAACAGATTCCAAGGAACGAGAACAGCCTGCATATCAGCTCGATGGGCCGAAGAGTCTTCGTCGGGCGCGGTTTCAGCCCTTTGAATGTCTGATGCAACAAAGCAAGATCATGCATACTTCGGCTATGGAAACTGTATGGAAATTGCATGGAAACTGTATGGAAACTGTATGGAAACTGTATGAAAACTGTATGGAAACTGTATGGAAACTGTATGGAAACTGTATGGAAACTGCATGGAAATTGTATGGAAACTGTATGGAAACTGTATGGAAACTGTATGGAAACTGTATGGAAACTGTATGGAAACTGTATGGAAACTGTATGGAAACTGTATGGAAACTGTATGGAAACTGTATGGAAACTGTATGGAAACTGCATGGAAACTGTATGGAAACTGTATGGAAACTGTATGGAAACTGTATGGAAACTGTATGGAAACTGTATGGAAACTGTATGGAAACTGTATGGAAACTGTATGGAAACTGTATGGAAACTGTATGGAAACTGTATGGAAACTCTATGGAAACTCTATGGAAACTCTATGGAAACTCTATGGAAACTCTATGGAAACTCTATGGAAACTCTATGGAAACTCTATGGAAACTCTATGGAAACTCTATGGAAACTCTATGGAAACTCTATGGAAACTCTATGGAAACTCTATGGAAACTGTATCTGTATGGAAACTGTATGGAAACTGTATGTATGGAAACTGTATGGAAACACATGGAAACTGTATGGAAACTGTATGGAAACTGTATGGAAACTGTATGGAAACTGTATGGAAACTGTATGGAAACTGTATGGAAACTGTATGGAAACTGTATGGAAACTGTATGGAAACTGTATGGAAACTGTATGGAAACTGTATGGAAACTGTATGGAAACTGTATGGAAACTGTATGGAAACTGTATGGAAACTGTATGGAAACTGTATGGAAACTGTATGGAAACTGTATGGAAACTGTATGGAAACTGTATGGAAACATGGAAACTGTATGGAAACTGTATGGAAACTGTATGGAAACTGTATGGAAACTGTATGGAAACTGTATGGAAACTGTATGGAAACTGTATGGAAACTGTATGGAAACTGTATGGAAACTGTATGGAAACTGCATGGAAACTGTATGGAAACTCCGGAAACTTCAAGTGGCCAAAGTGTCTTGGACACATCTCGATCTGGCCAGGAACTTGGCATATAGCGTGAGCTGGCAGGACCACTGTGCCGATTCCACAATCTTTCGCTGGGAAGAAGCGGAATGAGTCGAAATGAGGTTAGAATATCTTAGAATGGGAATATCAATGAATATATACCCTCTGGTTATGACTAACATAGCCAT